TCCCTCGATCTGGGGCACCACGCAAGATCTCACCCCGTGGGGTCAAAATGATCACAAGAACGGTGAGCAAAAATCCCAGAACCACACAGGGGGACCTAGTGAATGACCTGCAGAGAGCTGGGACCAAAGCAACAAAGCCTACCATCAGTAACACACTACGCCGCCAGGGACTCAAATCCTGCAGTGCCAGACGTGTTCCCCTGCTTAAGCCAGTACATGTCCAGGCCCGTCTGAAGTTTGCTAGAGTGCATTTGGATGATCCAGAAGAGGATTGGGAGAATGTCATACGGTCAGATGAAACCAAAATAGAACTTTTTGGTAAAAACTCAACTCGTCGTGTTTGGAGGACAAAGAATGCTGAGTTGCATCCAAAGAACACCATACCTACTGTGAAGCATGGGGGTGGAAACATCATGCTTTGGGGCTGTTTTTCTGCAAAGGTACCAGGACGACTGATCCGTGTAAAGGAAAGAATGAATGGGGCCATGTATCGTGAGATTTTGAGTGAAAACCTCCTTCCATCAGCAAGGGCATTGAAGATGAAACGTGGCTGGGTCTTTCAGCATGACAATGATCCCAAACACACCACCTGGGCAACGAAGGAGTGGCTTCGTAAGAAGGTCCTGGAGTGGCCTAGCCAGTCTCCAGATCTCAACCCCATAGAAAATCTTTGGAGGGAGTTGAAAGTCTGTGTTGCCCAGCGACAGCCCCAAAACATCACTGCTCTAGAGGAGATCTGCATGGAGGAATGGGCCAAAATACCAGCAACAGTGTGTGAAAACCTTGTGAAGACTTACAGAAAACGTTTGACCTGTGTCATTGCCAACAAAGGGTATATAACAAAGTATTGAGAAACTTTTGTTATTGACCAAATACTTATTTTCCACCATAATTTGCAAATAAATTCATTAAAAATCCTACAATGTGATTTTCTGGATTTTTTTTTCTAATTTTGTCTGTCATAGTTGACGTGTACCTATGATGAAAATTACAGGCCTCTCTCATCTTTTTAAGTGGGATAACTTGCACAATTGGTGGCTGACTAAATACATTTTTCCCCCACTGTAGATACAACGTAGTTACTTGTGAAATACTACCACATTGGATGACTCCATCCCATGAAGACGACAGCAAATCTGTCTGTTACATGGTGCCACCTTCACACTGACAGGGTAGGTACAAGGTAAGAGGGCTGTAAAATCGTGGGCGACATTGAATAGTAGCTAGCCCAGTGTATTGATAGCAACACTAACAAGTCACATCCGGATCACATAATTTTGTGTGTTAAAAAAAGTGTTAAAAACATACAAACTTTAGCTTTTTCCCCCAATGTAATAATAATTGTACATACTAATTTAACATTGTGCACTATGCAAGATTAAAAAAACATTGATTATGTATCAAACACATAGCTTTTTACCACAGACCTTTATTTTTGAAGGCCAAAATCGAAAACCGGAAGTCTTAATGTGGCCACGGTTGTAGGACTGACGGATGAGCTCCACAAATCTTTCTCCCCAGGCCTTGAAAAGATGTGTCTGTGAGTAAAAACCTTTTGGTCTTCGATAGTTAAGTACAAGCAGTGATTGATGTTGGAATTACGTTTTTATGTTTATTCTAGCGCCGAAGGTCTGCTAGCACACTAGCGAATTTAAGCTAACGAATCGTCATTGTCATTGCATTGTGTGTTAGCATGCTAGCTAGCATGATTTTTGTAACTTAGCTTGTTTTTGTATAGAATTAATGTAGCTATTTTGTGTGTTTACATAATGTCTTGTTGGGAGATAATATGCTTGTGGAAACATTTTAGGTATGCATAGTTTGTGTATACTCTTAGTAATTTTGTGGCATTTCTTCTTCAAGTGAAATGGACAGATTTTCCTTCTCATCTGCTTTGGCAAGCAATCTTCTATGTTAGCTCTTGATTGGAATTTAGGCCTAGTCATTCTATTCAGTCCTATGTGTATGCTTTGTATTCATGTCATGTGAATAGAAGAACATTTCGTATACAATTAAAAATATATATTTTTCATAGAAATGAATGCAATTCACATGTGTTGTTATGCTAGCTCATTGATATGATATAGCCTATTCTAATTCAGGTGTTTTCAAAGTCTGAGACAGTGGGCCTCCCTTCAGAGAACATCAAGACAACCACAATTTTAAGAGTTGAGAAATAAACGTGGTATCACTGGAAAGCTTTTTAAATGTAGCCATCATAATGTTTTTTTCCCTGCGATAGTTGTTAGAAACAGGCCTATTATTTATGAATTATTAGAGAACCAAATACAGTTACTTGGCTTTCCTTTCACACTTTGAAAACCTCTGTTCTAATACAATGTGCTTCTACTTACCTCTGGTTGATTGTGTGCTTGTCTTAATTGTGAAATGTTTCCACTTTTATATTACACTGTAGTAAACTTGAAAGTATTTGGTATTTACATGGTAATGTGAACAGCTTCATTTTACAGCCCTCTTACCTTGTACCTACCCTGTCAGTGTGAAGGTGGTACCATGTAACAACAGGGTAAGATCACAGACAGATTTGCTGTCATCTTCATGGGATGGAGTCATCCAATGTGGTAGTATTTCACAAGTAACTACGTTGTATCTACCTGGAAACAGACACCACTTCATTTTACAGCCCTTTTAATACCAACATACATGGTAACTAAAGGCAAAGTACATAGAAACAATGTGAGAGAATACCAATGTTAGGATGATTGACTTGAAGGTATTCATTTGGTAAGTGCCTTGTAATAAATAAATAAAATATCTGCAGATGTTGTTTCTATGTATTTAAATAAAAAGTATCTTGTACTTACTTATAAGGTCCTCAATACTAACCTTTGGGCTAAAGGGGACTACTATATAATTACATTTTGTTATTTTGTATTTACTAAGAATGTGTGTAGTACTTACTTGTTTAGTACCTTGTAAGTACGTTTGGGACTAAAGTGTTACCATGTATGTACTTTTTGTTACTAGGTATTTACCTAGTTATTACCTTGTAAGTACCGGGCTGTGAAATTAAGGGTTACCCCTCTATCAGTGATCTAGTGGAGGGGAAAGCAGTTCAAGCACTTTATTTTTATTTTGCGCAAGCGTTTACCCACCTATTGCAGAAAAATGCATTGAAAATAAAGGGAGCTTTAATTTACCCACTGCAAACAGCGATCAGCGTTTACCCACCATTTTTTTTACCACCACATTACTGGCCTCAATCTACAAGTGACAGTTTTGAGCCTAATGATACAATCTCAGATGTGTTCTCACTGTTTCTGAGGTAAATGTATTTAAACTGTGAAGGCCTGTGAGGACTACGGAGCTATGATCAGTGTTGTGATTCCTACTGTGACCTCTTTGCATGATCATGCTACCCAACTACTCATCAATACTCTCATGCCAGGATAATGATACACATTTAGTCTGGTACGAGCCACAAATAGGAGGGAAAATAAGAAAATCCTTCTCTTCAACATGTTTTCAATGTCTCCAAGAGAATATACAATCAATTAGCTTGCCGCTAAAATAGACATTGCATTTGATTACCTTCATCAACAGGCTCTGAGAAAACCAAATAACCAAAGTAGGGTACGTCTCGGTCGTGAATCGTGGCTGTCCAGTGGTGTAGGGAACCGTGTGCAAGGCCGTATTGACATGAGCAGCCTCACATTCATTTAGAAATCTAATTTAACTCTGAAAGCTCATTCAAAGTTCATTAATATGAAGCTCCGCCATAACAATACTCCCCCCTCTCGCTCCATTTGCTTCTGTGCTCTATATAATCAATAATTCATTGCCACGGGAACTATGTTCATAGACGAGTGACAGATCCTCATTGTGAAATGCCACTCTGGTTATTTGGTTGAAATGAATATGCCTAGAATTTTCCTGTGGTTTCACAGAATTTCAGTCAAATCACATATCAATTACATATGAGGTCCCACTGCACTGATGATAGAAGTTCCCTCTGCTAAATATCCACACAGTATGGAGGTTGCGTCTTGATTAGCCTGTACTCGTTGAAAACAGGCTTAAAGTATTTTCATTTGATTTATTTTACTAGAGAAAAGACATATGACAGGTCGATGTGGGATCCCACTGGGCACAGACATCAGTTCAATGTCTATTTTTGATTTACGTTTGGTTGATTAATCAATTAACCTGAATTTAACGTGACATCAACAAACACTTTCAACATGTCATTGGATTTAGGTTAAAAGTTGGGTGAAAAAAATAAAAAATTCCCTTACAATTATTACTTTTTTCAAATCCAATCACTTTTCCATGTTGATTCAAGTCATTTCAAATGTTTTGTTGAACTGACTTGGAAACAACGTTGATTCAACCAGTTTTTGCCCAGTGAGGTGGTGCTCCATAGTGGGGTAATCTGTAGCTCAATAGTGGCAGGCTCAATGTCAGACAGTCCCTCCAGCGAAGAGGTGGGAGAGCAGAGGGGGGATGGCAAAGGAATCGAGGGGTGCATTCTCGTCCATGCTCCTTTCAAACACTGAGCACTGGGCAGATGGAGGAGGAGAAGTGAATAGACAGCAACCGCTGATAAAAGAGCCATTCAGTTGAGAACACTAAGAATCGCCAAAAACAGCCTGGAGATTGAGGCCGATCCCAGAGGGCCAAAGAATGGGGAGATAGCCGGGGAATTTCTGTTCTGGACCCCCATCGCTAATGGCTATTTATTTATTTCCCCCCTTGACACATAAGAGATTAGGATCCGATTCAATTCCCTTTTTATCGGGGCAGAGAAGAAAGAAAAAAAGGTTCCAAAGTTTTTCTAGTGAGGAATAGAAGAAGATGAGGAGGGACTTGGAGCACCAATAAGATGAGGGCAACAGGGACTTGGAGCACCAATAAGCTGAGGGAAAAAGGGACTTGGAGCACCAATAAGCTGAGGGCAACAGCGACTTGGAGCATCAATAAGCTGAGGGCAACAGGAACTTGGGGCACCAATAAGCTGAGGGCAACAGGGACTTGGATTACCAATAAACTGAGGGCAACATACACTTGGAGCACAAGTAAACTGAGGGCAACAGGGACTTGGAGCACCAATAAACTGAGGGCAAGAGGGACTTGGAGCACCAATAATCTGAGGGCAACAGGGACTTGGAGCACCAATAAGCTGAGGGCAACAGGGACTTGGAGCACCAATAAGCTGAGGACAACAGGGACTTAGAGCACCAATAAACTGAGGGCAACAGGAACTTGGAGCACCAATACACTGAGGGAAACAGGGATTTGGAGCACCAATAAGATGAGGGAAACTGGGACTTGGAGCACCAATACGCTGAGGGAAACAGGGACTTGGAGCACCAATAAAAGGAGGGAAACAGGGACTTGGAGCAACAGTAAGCTGAGGGCAACAGGGACTTGGAGCACCAATGAACTAAGGGCAACAGGGACTTGGAGCACCAATAAGCTGAGTGCAACAGGGACTTGGAGCACCAATAAGATGAGTGCAACAGGGACTTGGAGCACCAATAAACTGAGGGCAACAGGGACTTGGAGCACCAATAAACTGAGGGAAACAGGGAATTTGAGCACCAATAAGCTGAGGGAAACTGGGACTTGGGGCACCAATACACTGAGGGAAACAGGGACTTGGAGCACCAATAAAAGGAGGGCAACAGGGACTTGGAGCACCAGTAAGCTGAGGGCAACAGGGACTTGGAGCACCAGTAAACTGAGGGCAACAGGGACTTGGAGCACCAATAAGCTGAGTGCAACAGGGACTTGGAGCACCAATAAACTAAGGGCAACAGGGACTTGGAGCACCAATAAACTGAGGGCAACAGAGATTTGGAGCACCAATAAGCTGAAGGCAACAGGGACTTGGGGCACCAATAAGCTGAGTGCAACAGGGACTTGGATTACCATTAAACTGAGGGCAACAGACACTTGGAGCACCAATAAGCTGAGGGCAACAGGGACTTGGAGCACCAATAAGCTGAGGGCCACAGGGACTTGGAGCACCAATAATCTGAGGGCAACAGGGACTTTGAGCACCAATAAGCTGAGGGCAACAGGGACTTGGAGAACCATTAAGCAGAGGGCAACAGGGACTTGGAGCACCAATAAGCTGAGGGCAACAGGGACTTGGAGCACCAATAAGCTGAGGGCAACAGGGACTTGGAGCACCAATAAACTGAGGGCAACAGGGACTTGGAGAACCATTAAGCTGAGGGCAACAGGGTCTTGGAGCACCAATAAGCTGAGGGCAACAGGGACTTGGAGCACCAATGAACTAAGGGCAACAGGGACTTGGAGCACCAATAAGCTGAGTGCAACAGGGACTTGGAGCACCAATAAGATGAGTGCAACAGGGACTTGGAGCACCAATAAACTGAGGGCAACAGGGACTTGGAGCACCAATAAACTGAGGGAAACAGGGAATTTGAGCACCAATAAGCTGAGGGAAACTGGGACTTGGGGCACCAATACACTGAGGGAAACAGGGACTTGGAGCACCAATAAAAGGAGGGCAACAGGGACTTGGAGCACCAGTAAGCTGAGGGCAACAGGGACTTGGAGCACCAGTAAACTGAGGGCAACAGGGACTTGGAGCACCAATAAGCTGAGTGCAACAGGGACTTGGAGCACCAATAAACTGAGGGCAACAGAGATTTGGAGCACCAATAAGCTGAAGGCAACAGGGACTTGGGGCACCAATAAGCTGAGTGCAACAGGGACTTGGATTACCATTAAACTGAGGGCAACAGACACTTGGAGCACCAATAAGCTGAGGGCAACAGGGACTTGGAGCACCAATAAGCTGAGGGCAACAGGGACTTGGAGCACCAATAATCTGAGGGCAACAGGGACTTTGAGCACCAATAAGCTGAGGGCAACAGGGACTTGGAGAACCATTAAGCAGAGGGCAACAGGGACTTGGAGCACCAATAAGCTGAGGGCAACAGGGACTTGGAGCACCAATAAGCTGAGGGCAACAGGGACTTGGAGCACCAATAAGCTGAGGGCAACAGGGACTTGGAGAACCATTAAGCTGAGGGCAACAGGGTCTTGGAGCACCAATAAGCTGAGGGCAACAGGGACTTGTAGCACCAGTAAGATTAGGGAAACAGGGACTTGGAGCACCAATACGCTGAGGGCAACAGGGACTTGGAGCACCAATAAGCTGACGGCAATAGGGACTTGGAGCACCAATAAGCTAGGGGCAACAGGGACTTGGAGGACCAATAAACTGAGGGCAAAAGGGACTTGGGGTACCAATAAGCTGAGGGCAACAGGGACTTGGGGCACCAATAAACTGAGGGCAACGGGACTTGGATTACCAATAAGCTGACAGCAACGTACACTTGGAGTACCAATAAACTGAGGGCAACAGGGACTTGGATTACCAATAAGCTGAGGGCAACAGACACTTGGAGCACCAATAAGCTTAGATGGAAACAGGGATTTGGAGGCATCAATAGCTGAGGGCAAAAGGGGACTTGGTAGCGCAACTAAGGTGAGGGAACCAGGAAATAGGAGCACCAATAACTGTGGCCAACAGGGACTGTGGAGCACCCAATAAGCTGAGGGCAACATGGACTTGGTGCAAACCCAATAAGCTGAGGGCAATAGGACTTGGATTAGCAATAAGGCTGAGGGCAACAGGGACTTTGGAGCACCCATAAGCTGAGGCAACAGGGGACTTGGAGGCACCAACTAAGCTGAAGGATGGCAACAGGGATTGGAAGGCAACCACTAAGCTGAGGGAACAGGAACTTGGAGAAAAAAAACAAACCGATAAGCTGAGGGCAACAGGGACTTGGAGCACCACTGAAAGCTGAGGGCAAAAGGGACTTGGGAAGCACCAATAAGCTAAGGGCAACATGGGACTTGAAGCAAAAATAAGCCGAGGGCAACAGGGACTTGGAGCACCAATAAGCTGAGGGCAACAGGGACTTGGAGCACCAATAAACTGAGGGAAACAAGGAATTGGAGCACCAATAAGCTGAGGGAAACTGGGATTTGGAGCACCAATACGCTGAGAGAAACAGGGACTTGGAGCACCAATAAAAGGACAGAAACAGGGACTTGGAGCACCAGTAAACTGAGGGCAACAGGGACTTGGGGCACCAATAAACTGAGGGCAACGGGGACTTGGATTACCAATAAGCTAACGGCAACAGACACTTGGAGTACCAATAAACTGAGGGCAACAGGGACTTGGATTACCAATAAGCTGAGGGCAACAGACACTTGGAGCACCAATATGCTGAGGGCAACAGGGACTTGGAGCACCAATAAGCTGAGGGCAACAGGGACTTGGAGCACCAATAAACTGAGGGCAACGGGGACTTGGATTACCAATAAGCTAACGGCAACAGACACTTGGAGTACCAATAAACTGAGGGCAACAGGGACTTGGAGCACCAATCAGCTGAGGGCAACAGGGACTTGGGGCACCAATAAGCTGAGGGCAACAGGGACTTGGATTATCAATAAACTGAGGGCAACAGGGACTTGGAGCACCAATAAACTGAGGGCAACAGGGACTTGGAGCACCAATAAGCTGAGGGCAACAGGGATTGGAGCACCAATAAGCTGAGGGCAACAGGAACTAGAAGCACCAATAAGCTGAGGGAAACAGGGACTTGGAGCACCAATAAGCTAAGGGCAACAGGGACTTGAAGCACATATAAGATGAGGGCAACGGGGACTTGGAGCACCAATAAGCTGAGGGCAACAGGGACTTGGAGCACCAATAAACTGAGGGAAACAAGGAATTGGAGCACCAATAAGCTGAGGGAAACTGGGACTTGGAGCACCAATACGCTGAGGGAAACAGGTACTTGGAGCACCAATAAAAGGAGAGAAACAGGGACTTGGAGCACCAGTAAGCTGAGTGCAACAAAGACTTGGAGCACCAATAAACTGAGGGCAACAGGGACTTGGAGCACCACTAAGCTGAGTGCAACAGGGACTTGGAACACCAATAAACTGAGGGCAACAGGGACTTGGAGCACCAATAAGCTGAAGCAAACAGGGACTTGGAGCTTCAATAAGCTGAGGTTAACAGGGACTTGAAGCACCAATAAACTGAGTGCAACAGGGACTTGGAGCACCAGTACACTGAGGGCAACAGGGACTTGGAGCACCAGTAAGCTGAGGGCAACAGAGACTTCGAGCACCAATAAACTGAGGTCAACAGGGACTTGGAGCACCAATAAACTGAGGGCAACAGGGACTTGGAGCACCAATACGCTGAGGGCAACAGGGACTTGGAGCACCAATAAGCTGAGGGCAACAGACTCTTGGAGCACCAATAAGCTGAGGGCAACAGGGACTTGGGGTACCAATAAGCTGAGGGCAACAGGGACTTGGGGCACCAATAAACTGAGGGCAACGGGACTTGGATTACCAATAAGCTGAGGGCAACAGACACTTGGAGCACCAATAAGCTGAGGGCAACAGGGATTTGGAGCACCAATAAGCTGAGGGCAACAGGGACTTGGAGCACCAATAAGGTGAGGGAAACAGGAAATAGGAGCACCAATAAACTGTTGGCAACAGGGACTTGGAGCACCAATAAGCTGAGGGCAACAGGGACTTGGGGCACCAATAAGCTGAGGGCAATAGGGACTTGGATTATCAATAAGCTGAGGGCAACAGGGACTTGGAGCACCAATAAGCTGAGGGCAACAGGGACTTGGAGCACCAATAAGCTGAGGGCAACAGGGATTGGAGCACCAATAAGCTGAGGGGAACAGGAACTTGGAGCACCGATAAGCTGAGGGCAACAGGGACTTGGAGCACCACTAAGCTGAGGGCAACTATTGTTTTCACTATATATTTTACCTCTTGGGGATGTTATTCGAAAACATAATGTTAACTTTCACTGCTATGCGGATGACACACAGCTGTACATTTCAATGAAACATGGTGAAGCCCCAAAATTGCCCTCGCTAGAAGCCTGTGTTTCAGACATAAGGAAGTGGATGGCTGAAAACGTTCTACTTTTAAACTCGGACAAAACAGAGATGCTTGTTCTAGGTCCCAAGAAACAAAGAGATCTTCTGTTAAATCTGACAATTCATCTTGATGGTTGTAAAGTCGTCTCAAATAAAACTGTGAAGGACCTCGGCGTTACTCTTGACCCTGATCTCTCTTTTGACGAACATATCAAGACTGTTTCAAGGACAGCTTTTTTCCATCTACGTAACATTGCAAAAATCAGAAATTTTCTGTCCAAAAATGATGCAGAAAAATTAATCCATGCATTTGTTACTTCTAGGTTAGACTACTGCAATGCTCTACTTTCCGGCTACCCGGATAAAGCACTAAATAAACTTCAGTTAGTGCTAAATACGGCTGCTAGAATCCTGACTAGAACCAAGAAATTTGATCATATTACTCCAGTGCTAGCTTCCCTACACTGGCTTCCTGTTAAGGCAAGGGCTGATTTCAAGGTTTTACTGTTAACCTATAAAGCGTTACATGGGCTTGCTCCTACCTATCTTTCCGAGTTGGTCCTGCCATACATACCAATACGTACGCTACGGTCACAAGACGCAGGCCTCCTAATTGTCCCTAGAATTTCTAAGCAAACAGCGGGAGGCAGGGCTTTCTCCTATAGATCTCCATTTTTATGGAACAGTTTGCCTACCCATGTGAGAGACGCAGACTCGGTCTCAACCTTTAAGTCTTTACTGAAGACTTATCTCTTCAGTAGGTCTTATGATTGAGTGTAGTCTGGCCCAGGAGTGTGAAGGTGAACGGAAAGGCTCTGGAGCAACGAACAGCCCTTGCTGTCTCTGCCAGGCCGGTTCCCCTCTCTCCACTGGGGTTCTCTGCCTCTAACCCTGTTACAGGGGCTGAGTCACTGGCTTGCTGGTGCTCTTTCATGCCGTCCCTAGGAGGGGTGCGTCACTTGAGTGGGTTGAGTTACTGACGTGATCTTCCTGTCTGGGTTGGCGCCCCCCCTTGGTTTGTGCTGTGGTGGAGACCTCTGTGGGCTATACTCGGCCTTGTCTCAGGATTGTAAGTTGGTGGTTGAGGATATCCCTCTAGTGGTGCGGGGGCTGTGCTTTGGCAGAGTGGGTGGGGTTATATCCTTCCTGTTTGGCCCTGTCCGGGGGTTTCTTCGGATGGGGCCACAGTGTCTCCGGACCGCTCCTGTCTCAGCCTCCAGTATTTATGCTGCAGTAGTTTATGTGTCGGGGGGCTGGGGTTAGTTGGTTATACCTGGAGTACTTCTCCTGTCTTATCCAGTGTCCTGTGTGAATTTAAGTATGCTCTCTCTAATTCTCTCGTTCTCTCTTTCTCTCTGAGAACCTGAGCCCTAGGACCATACGTCAGGACTACCGGGCATGCTGACACCTTGCTGTCCCCAGTCCGCCTGGCCTTGCTGCTATTCCAGTTTCAACTGTTCTGCCTGCGGTTACGAAACCCCTACCTGTCCCAGACCTGCTGTTTTCAACTCTTAATGATCGGCTATGAAAAGCCAACTGAGAGACCTGAGCCCTAGGACCATACGTCGGGACTACCGGCCGTGGTGACTCCTTGCTGTCCCCAGTCCGCCTGGCCTTGCTGCTATTCCAGTTTCAACTGTTCTGCCTGCGGTTATGGAACCCCTACCTGTCCCAGACCTGCTGTTTTCAACTCTTAATGATCGGCTATGAAAAGCCAACTGAGATTTATTCCTGATTATTATTTGACCATGCTTGTCACTTATGAACATTTTTGAACATCTTAGCATGGTTCTGTTATAATCTCCACCCGGCACAGCCAGAAGAGGACTGGCCACCCCTCATAGCCTGGTTCCTCTCTAGGTTTCTTCCTAGGTTTTGGCCTTTCTAGGGAGTTTTTCCTAGCCACCGTGCTTCTACACCTGCATTACTAGCTGTTTGGGGTTTTAGGCTGGGTTTCTGTACAGCACTTCGAGATATTAGCTGATGTACGAAGGGCTATATAAAATAAAATTGATTGATTGATTGAAGGCAACAGGGACTTGGAGCTCCAATAAGCTGAGGTTAACAGGGACTTGGAGCACCAATAAACTGAGTGTAACAGGGACTTGGAGCACCAATAGTCTGAGTGCATCAGGGACTTGGAGCACCAATAAGCTGAGGTCAACAGGGACTTGGAGCACCAGTAAACTGTTGGCAACAGGGACTTGGAGCACCAATAAGCTGAGGTAAACAGGGACTTGAAGAACCAGTAATCTGAGGGCTGGTAGAGCACGGCGCTTGTAACGCCAAGGTAGTGGGTTCAATCCCCGGGACCACCCATACACAAAAATGTATGCACGCATGACTGTAAGTCGCTTTGGATAAAAGCGTCTGCTAAATAGCATATTATTATTATTATTATTATATTATTATAAGCTGAGGGAAACATAGACTTGGATCATCAGTAAGCTGAAGGCAACAGGGACTTGGAGCTCCAATAAGCTGAGGTTAACAGGGACTTGGAGCATCAAAAAACTGAGTGCAACAGGGACTTGGAGCACCAATAGTCTAAGCGCATCAGGGACTTGGAGCACCAATAAGCTGTGTGCAACAGGGACTTGGAGCACCAGTGTACTGTTGGCAACAGGGACTTGGAGCACCAATAAGCTGAGGTTAACAGGGACTTGGAGCACCAATAAACTGAGTGCAACAGGGACTTGGAGCACCATTAGTCTGAGTGCATCAGGGATTTGGAGCACCAATAAGCTGAGGTTAACATGGACTTGGAGCATCAATAAACTGATTGCAACAGGGACTTGGAGCACCAATAGTCTGAGTGCTTCAGGGACTTGGAGCACCAATAAGCTGAGTGCAACAGGGACTTGGAGCACCAATAGTCTGAGTTCATCAGGGACTTGGAGCACCAGTGAACTGTTGGCAACAGGGACTTGGAGCACCAATAAGCTGAGGGCAACAGGGACTTGGAGCACCAATAAGCTGAGGTTAACAGGGACTTGGAGCACCAATAAACTGAGTGCAACAGGGACTTGGAGCACCAATAGTCTGAGTGCATCAGGGACTTGGAGCACCAATAAGCTGAGGGCAACAGGGACTTGGAACACCAATAAGCTGAGGGCAACAGTGACTTGGTGCACCAATATATTGAGTTTAACAGAGACTTGGAGCACCAACAAGCTGAGGGCAACAGGGACTTGGAGCACCAACAAAATGAGTGCAACAGGAACTTTGTGCACCAGTAAACAGTTGGCAAAAGGGACTTGGAGCACCAATAAGCTGAGGGCAACATGAACTTGGAGCACCAATAAGCTGATGGTAACAGGGACTTGGAGCAACAATAAGCTGAGGGCAACAGGGACTTAGTGCACCAGTAAGCTGAGGGAAACATAGACTTGGAGCATCACTAAGATGAAGGCAACAGGGACTTGGAGCTCCAATAAGCTGAGGTTAACAGGGACTTGGAGCACCAATAAACTGAGTGCAACAGGGACTTGGAGCACCAATAGTCTGAGTGCATCAGGGACTTGGAGCACCAATAAGCTGAGGTCAACAGGGACTTGGAGCACCAGTAAACTGTTGGCAACAGGGACTTGGAGCACCAATAAGCTGAGGTAAACAGGGACTTGAACAACCAGTAATCTGAGGGCTGGTAGAGCACGGCGCTTGTAACGCCAAGGTAGTGGGTTCAATCCCCGGGACCACCCATACACAAAAATGTATGCACGCATGACTGTAAGTCGCTTTGGATAAAAGCGTCTGCTAAATAGCATATTATTATTATTATTATTATATTATTATAAGCTGAGGGAAACATAGACTTGGATCATCAGTAAGCTGAAGGCAACAGGGACTTGGAGCTCCAATAAGCTGAGGTTAACAGGGACTTGGAGCATCAAAAAACTGAGTGCAACAGGGACTTGGAGCACCAATAGTCTAAGTGCATCAGGGACTTGGAGCACCAATAAGCTGTGTGCAACAGGGACTTGGAGCACCAGTGTACTGTTGGCAACAGGGACTTGGAGCACCAATAAGCTGAGGGCAACAGGGACTTGGAGCACCAATAAGCTGAGGTTAACAGGGACTTGGAGCACCAATAAACTGAGTGCAACAGGGACTTGGAGCACCATTAGTCTGAGTGCATCAGGGATTTGGAGCACCAATAAGCTGAGGTTAACATGGACTTGGAGCATCAATAAACTGATTGCAACAGGGACTTGGAGCACCAATAGTCTGAGTGCTTCAGGGACTTGGAGCACCAATAAGCTGAGTGCAACAGGGACTTGGAGCACCAATAGTCTGAGTTCATCAGGGACTTGGAGCACCAGTGAACTGTTGGCAACAGGGACTTGGAGCACCAATAAGCTGAGGGCAACAGGGACTTGGAGCACCAATAAGCTGAGGTTAACAGGGACTTGGAGCACCAATAAACTGAGTGCAACAGGGACTTGGAGCACCATTAGTCTGAGTGCATCAGGGACTTGGAGCACCAATAAGCTGAGGTTAACATGGACTTGGAGCATCAATAAACTGATTGCAAAAGGGACTTGGAGCACCAATAGTCTGAGTGCTTCAGGGACTTGGAGCACCAATAAGCTGAGTGCAACAGGGACTTGGAGCACCAATAGTCTGAGTTCATCAGGGACTTGGAGCAGCAATAAGCTGAGGGCAACAGGGACTTGGAGCACCAATAAGCTGAGGGCAACAGGGACTTGGTGCACCAATAAACTGAGTTTAACAGGGACTTGGAGCACCAATAAGCTGAGGGCAACAGGGCCTTGGAGCACCAATAAACGGAGGGCAACAGGGACTTGGAGCACCAATAAGATGATGGCAACAGGGACTTGGAGAACCAATAAAATGAGTGCAACAGTGACTTGGAGCACCAATAATATGAGTGCAACAGGGACTTGGAGCATCAATAAGCTGAAGGCATCAGGGACTTGGAGCACCAATAAGCTGAGGGCAACAGGGACTTGGAGTACCAATAAGCTGAGGGAAACAGGGACTTGGAGCACCAGTAAATTGAGGGAAACAGGGACTTGAAGCACCAGTACGTTGAGTGCAACAGGGACTTGGAGTACCAATAAGCTGAGTGCAACAGGGACTTGGATCCTGCTTGTGGTGGTTGTGAGAGGAATGTCGAGAGTCGCAACACGGCTGTGTTGCTGCTGTTGTGAGACAATGGATTTACAATGCAAATCGAATCCATACAGGTATGGATTCTTCCCCATTTTGGTGTTTCCTCTGGAGGTGTTTTTTCATCCGCTGACAAGTCTTGGCTGATGAGCTTTGGCTGTCTCGGTGTGCAGTGCTTTGCCTTTGAAACAATCAGCAACACGATCTATCTTTTTCCTTGGGGACCAGTTGAAGTTTAGAATAGTTTGTAAAAAACAGCGAGAGAGTAATATAAAATGGAGAGTGTGCTATACATCATCACAGCTATACATTCAACATGTAGTGTTGTGTGTGGAAAGAAAACATGCATTTCCGGGTGACACAGTTAGAGATGCATTCTGTTAAAGAATTGTGTTTGGAAAAGCCATGGTAAAATATCATAATGCAGCCTAACAGTGAACTAACAAGTATATGAATGGAAAAATATATAATAAATTATATGACAGAGACAGTAGGTTGTTTGGGACTTGGTAAATACACCTCAATTTATGCCACATGCAACTTCTGTTATCTAATAGAACAGTGTATACAAAGTACACATTATATCTCAGTCTTATTCCCCATTTTGTTATGATGTTGTAACCTTGAAGATGCATCAATGATCAAGGTTTTCATAGTTTTTTCTTTCCACCCACATTTAATGACGTAGCACTCAGAGAGAATTCAGCGAGTATAAAAGACCTGACAGGCCCACACCTCACGGGACTGTGCAAAACAATGTGGGGGAGCAGCAAAAAAAACGGGAAAAAATGGGAATTGTAATAGGGTTAGTTGTAATTATAGCAACACAACAACAGAGTGGCAACAAGCTAAATACCACATCTGTTCCACCTGAATACGATGAAACTCACTTACCATGGATGATGCGTTTATTGACCCCGTCAAGGTGAACAGGAGCTACTCTGATCTCTAGAGACACTAAGGAGATACGGAGAAAACAAAAACCGGTGTGTAACGGGAATAATACTAAAATAACATTCGCATCAACAGCTACGTCAACTTCGATAATGTCTGAAGAGGGGCGGAGGAGCGGACTCACAAGGCTAAGAACGACTCGGGGAGGGAGATAGAAGACTACAGTAAATAATATGGAAGATACAATAAATGGAACAATAGAAGAAGAAAGAGATTGCAGAGTCCAATGCATGCATTGGGGCATGCGAGGTAGTTATGCTTAAGGCATTCACCCATAAGCGTGTTCGTTGGACTGCACAGACACACGTCTACTGTAGCAAACACTGTATATAGAGTTGTCAACCAAGGCAAGCAGAAGAAAATGCTATATTACTATGCCAAAGGAGGTCCCGAAGGGTATCTGTTCTTGCGTACGGAATTGCTGACTCAAGTGTTTTTAATTAGATGCACACTGTGGGCAGAATTATTTTAATTTTGAGGGGGGAAAAGAAATGTTCCAAGTCTTCAGACGTTAGACATACAGCGTTAACACAGTCTTACAGCTAGCATATTGAACTGTGCACTGTAAAGTTTTCAGTGGAGACACTGCATGATGTGCCTTAGGGTTGTACATCACTATTAGACGAATTCACAGTTGAGTGGGAGAATTTGGCTTGATTATCAGGCTTATCAAAAATGAAAAACTATGTTTTAAGTGAGGCATTGGTCTGAAGCCGAAAAATAAAGGAAATTCACATGAGCACCACAATGCATACTTAACCCATGCTCTACCAAGGTTTTGCAGTACACAGCTTTGACCTACTACAGTAGCTATGTTGGTCTATTTTACTTCAAGCAGGTTGCTTAGGGTTCAAACTTTCCCAAACAGCCTAATTTTAACTCTTAGAGGAGGTGCTCCCACAATAATGTGATTTGTACCGCATACAAGTTAAAGTATTTGATTCTTCACACACCACACTCATCCCATTCCACCACCTTTTCAAGCTTTTTTGTTTATTATATGAAAGCAAGCTTTGCTTTTATACTTAAAATACCATCAGGCTTGATTGAGAGAGGTGTTTTGTCTTGTAGTAATGTGGTGCCTGCTTCTCTTTCCTTAAACCTTTATTTTAGCAATACATGGGTCAACCTGTGGTGGTGTGTTGGACACAGTCACTTATGTATAGAGGTTTATAGAGCCTGTCTCCATTCCTGATTTCTGTAGCCACCTACCTGTGTAATATTGACATAAGCTCAGAAACACTTGTTTTGCAAACATGGTCCTGTTTTATAAATTGTTGTGCTGATCAATGGGCAGTTCATTACCTCTGTCAAATGAATATGTAGCTTAAAGTTATGTGTGTATTTTTATTTCAATCTGCAATAAAGATGGTGATGCTACAATAATACACATTCAGGCCTACAGATGAAGTCTGAAGTTTACATACACCTTAGCCAAATACATTTAAACTCAGTTTTTCACAATTCCTGACATTTAATCCTAGTAAAAATGCCCTGTCTTAGGTCAGTTAGGATCAACACTTTATTTTAAGAATGTGAAATGTGAGAATAATAGTAGAGAGAATGATTTATTTCAGCTTTTATTTATTTCATCACATTCCCAGTGGGTCAGAAGTTTACATACACTCAATTAGTATTTGGTAGCATTGCCTTTAAATTGTTTAACTTGGGTCAAACTTTTCGGGTAGCCTTCCACAAGCTTCCCACAATAAGTTGGGTGAATTTTGGCCCATTCCTCCTGACAGAGCTGGTGTAACTGAGTCAGGTTTGTAGGCCTCCTTGCTCGCACACGCTTTTTCAGTTCTGCCCACAAACCTTCTATAGGATTGAGGTCAGGGCTTTGTGATGGCCACTCCAATACCTTGACTTTGTTGTCCTTAAGCCATTTTGCCACAACTTTGGAAGTATGCTTGGGGTCATTGTCCATTTGGAAGACCCATTTGCGACCAAGATTTAACTTCCTGACTGATGTCTTGAGATGTTGCTTCAATATATTCACATAATTTTCCTTCCTCATGATGCCATCTATTTTGTGAAGTACAACAGTCCCTCCTGCAGCAAAGCAGCCCCACAGAATGATGCAGCCACCCCCGTGCTTCACGGTTGGGATCGTGTTCTTCGGCTTGCAAGCAACCCCCTTTTTCCTCCAAACATAACGATGGTCATTATGGCCAAACAGTTCTATTTTTGTTTCATCAGACCAGAGGACATTTCTCCAAAAAGTACGATCTTTGTCCCCATGTGCAGTTGCAAACCGTAGTCTGTCTTTTTTATGGCGGTTTTGAAGCAGTGGCTTCTTCCTTGCTGAGCGG